ATGTATGTATATCCTTTGCTTTAAAATGGCAATACCATTCCTAAAAGTGATAGCGTTAAATACCTCGGCATGCACTTGGACAAACGACTAACTTGGAAACAGCACATACAAGCCAAAAATAAACAATTAAAAATAAAAACCAAACAACTTGATTGGTTCCTTGGACATGCATCGCAGTTACATCTTGAAAATAAATTACTATTATATGCTAAATCTATACTAAAACCTATATGGACATACGGTGTGCAACTTTGGGGCACTGCTTGTAATTGAAATATTGATATTCTACAAAGATACCAATCGAAAACTCTAAGATTAATTACGAACGCGCCTTGGTTCATAACAAATAAAGCCATTCATTCAGACCTGAGCATACCTTTTGTTGAAGGTGAAATTAAAAGATTTAGTTCAGCATATTTGCACATTATAAGTTACCATGACAATCCTTTGGCAGTCATGTTATTAGATGATAGTAATGAAACTATTAGACTTAAAAGACAACATGTTCTAGATCTCCCATTTAGGAATTAAGTTAATGTTTAATTACATATGTTACTAATATATTAAATGTATAATTAAATTTTTTATATGAACAGTTGTATTTAGAACATTTTGTAATATTGTATATTAATATAAAGTAGTATAGTAAAGTATTAATATAAGTCAAATTATGGTTTTGTTATCAAATTTGCTTATTATTTACTAAAATAGATTGCAAATAAAATGTATTTAACAAAAAAACAAATAAAAACAAAACAAAATGTATATCTAGTGATGATCAAAACGCAAAAAGTAATGTTCACAAACGATTACCTGAGGGTCGAGAGTTTAACTGGCCGAAGATTTAAGAGCTTTTTGGCAAATTTTCTCTGAAAAGGATGGAGAACTGGATCTACAGCGAGCTTGTGCAAGTTTTTGCGATGAGGAAAGCTGCTGAGATGCATGAAACAACACAAAGACAAACAATATATACACCAACAGCCAAACGGCAATTAAGGCAATAATCTCATTACGTATTACGACCGAGAACGTACTTAGAAGCAGAATGGCAGTAGATATGTGGATGTCTGCAAATATACACTGGGCCACTCCCGAACCAAGGGCATACCCTGAAGCGAAATAGGTGATAAGATTGTCTAAGTGTCATTCGTCTGGCTACCAAGCCAGGTGTGGTATAAGAGTCGCTAAAAACGATATACAATGAAATTTCTGAAACACTTGATACCTACTAAGTAGCTAAGACAAGTACTAATTTATTCTTACTTTCTACTTTGCTCGACGTCGAAAAGTTAATACGGAGTAATTTATAATAATCCTCACCCTCAAACCTATCAATTTTGCCGGGTGAAGTACTGTCGAGAGAGAAAATTCTATTAAGTGAGTATCAGTGGTATTAGAGCTCGAATAATTTTATGAATTTTAAACCAGGAAAATCTGTTTCTTCTCCAACTTACTCATACCTAAATATATATCTATATATATCATATGTGTAAAATGTCTGATAAAGTAAAAAATAATTCCTCTCAGGCATTTTGCAAAGGTTTTCCTGTGAACAATTTGCTGCCAGTGATATAATAATTATCTGTCGTAGCAAGTGCTCACTTCTTACACACTTGGGATTTACATGCCGAGTATAGATTTGTCTCACAAATGAGCTGTTTGTTGCCAATGTAAAAAGTAATGTTTCAATTTACAACAGGAAGGTAATTTGTAAACCCGCAAGAGTTCATTAAACTAAAGGAAAAAGGTAAAAGCAAAAGACAGGAGCGAAAATGGGGAAAAAGTAAAGGCGATGCCCACATAAGTCGTGCGGTAATGAGCAATGGGAGGTGAGCTGGTAATGTGCCCATGAAATAAATAAACATAGCTTAACATGTAGGAAAGAAAACTAATATTAAAACAGGAAAATACAGAGAGCCCACAGAAATTGGCCAGGCCAGGCAGGCAGCAAACTTGAAAAGAAAAAGCGGCAATTGCAAAAGGCGCTAATCCAACACCACAATGAAAGACCACTGCAGGGCGAAGACAGATGAGTAAGTGAGACTTGTTAACTGAATGCTAGACTGACTGGTTGGCTGACTGCTTGCCTAAGTAGTTCGCTGACTCGACGCTTTGGAAGCACAAGCTGAGACTTATGAAGATTCAAGTTTGAATTAGGAAGTAGGAAGAAGAAAGAAGGAAGGGGGAAGGGTGAAGTTGTGGGTTCATATACATAAGTAGTGGCTACTGTAATGTATTTGTGCGTGTGTGTGTATATGTTTTGGTGTACAGGACGTATGAATAACCTATTACGTATTATTCGCAGCGCGAAGCAAGTTGGAAACGAGATATGTACATATATGTATATGTGCGTAAGTATCTCTCACATAGGTGTAGCGCAATTAGTATAATTTTTAACTGTTATAAATACAACAATAATCGGAGACAAGAACGCGGTACTAAGCATGCAAAAAAAAGATATAAGACTGCAAAGTAGAGAAGACAAACAAAACTTATGATGGAAGAGGAAGTGCATAAGCACGGCGGCATAACTGCGAACGTCAAACACCTCACCAACGCGCCATTCAATCAGTAAAGCAACAACAGCGACTAGCCTTGAGAAGCATGATGGTTACATTATTGTATGCTCATGTGCGAATAAGAAGCAAAATAAAAATAAAAATATTATAAACCACCGACATTCGCAGCAATAGTATGGGAAATAAATAGCCACACTGGTGCAAAACGAAGCTAATGACACGTTTGCAGATAGTCAAGTATTTGGTGAGCGGAAAACATCGTTGGCGCTGCGCGTTTCAACCTCAAGCAGAGCAGCACTACAAAACACAAAACGAAATACTTGCTTGTACTAAGTTAATAGGTTTTTATGCAAACAACAATTATCTGAATTTATCAAATACCAAAAGCTATTGAATTACAAAAATAAAATATGAGTTCAGCGAAAAAAAAAATTTGTCACAGAAGAAGAAGCCAAAAAAACAGTTTACAGTTAAATAGTGTATACATTAGCCTATTTTTGTAAAATTTGGAGTCATATAGGTCATCTTGTGAATTTTTGGTTGTGAGACAAAATTAAAAAAAAAAAAATTATAAAATTCATTAGTCAGTACTTAACGAATATATGTAAATAGTTTAAACTGAATAAATAACTTCCTCAAATTTGAAACTGATAATATTATTTAATAGATTTTGAGTTAGAGCCATGTAAAGGGTAACCGTTCGGTAAATTCCGACTCACGAGTCTATTTTTAAACTCGATTTTCTCCGAACAAGAACTTTTTTTTTTTTTTTAATATATTGGTAAAAAATATGGAAAAATATTGGATTTCTTTGCACTAGACCTGATAATTTAGTTTATCACGTTTCAACCTGCTCACTCTACGAATAAATGCTGCTACTTGAGTATTTATTCGTAACAAAGCGTGTTTCTTAAGAAAAAGATTTTATAAAATGTTTTTGCTAATTGAGTTTTTCTACAAGTTGCCGAAAGAAAGCAAGAAGTGCATGTTATGAAAAAAATTAAGAGAGCATTGAAGTCCAAAGTAACAGAACATCTTTGTATATAAATAAATATTACATTTTTTATAAAAATTTCACTATTTTTTTTAAATTTTTTTCAATACTATATCTATGTATGTACATATATTAAACATATAGCAGCAATTAATTATAAATCACCATATATTTATTTATTTTTTAAAGCTGAAAAACTTGTTACTCATTCACGCGATGACCACAAAGCTTCGATTTGACTCATCTTTCAAAAAGAAAGCTTAGTAAAAAAAATATACAGAAAACATGGTAAAGAGTGCAAACTTGTAATATGAAATTTAAATATACTAATATTTGTTTGCGATTATTTGTTACCAGCGATTTGTTTTATTTTGAGGCAAAACGTTAGGCAATGGAAAACAAGTAACAAATTCAACAAACAATTCACGGTCAAACAATAAAAGAAAAGATAAATAAATAATGAAAACTTTAATATGTACATACATATGTATGTATGATTTGGTATTAGCATATTGGCATAGAAAATAATACTCGATGAAAATACTGACAAAACCACAAACCCCAAATAAGGGCAGTAAAAATACTTGATTGTAAGTTTGTACGTCAAAGTGGACAGAAATGGATGTGAAAAGTAGAGAATACTGAAACATAAAAATTAAGCGCACATGGAACAATCGAAGTAAATAGATATATTATATTAATAAGTGACTCTCTTCTAATTTAATAGAACAATTTAAAAGAATGTATCTTTCTTGTGCTAATTCTTTTTGTCTGGAAAGCTTGCAATTAATATTTGCCAATTCCAAATTTTAAATCCAACCGAATTTTTAATGTGAGTAGACACTAATTTCTTAATTTGTATCATATTTGTAAGAAAAATTAAAAATAGTCTGAAATATAAATTTCTGAATAGTAAAAAGATTAGCGCTACTCCAAAGCAAACATACATAAGTTTAAAACTCATCACAATATATTAGTTTACATATGGACACATATACCAAGAGGGAAGTTTGCATGTACATGAGTTTTTGCATATAAACAAATGATGAACGCTGTGACAATTTCAATCAAACTGAAGCTGCTTTTGGAACAAACATCGCGATGACATTCTTGAAGACAAACAGATTCCCAAGCAAATATACAAACTCAAATTCATGTGTCGTTGTCCCACGCGAACATATGGCTTCTAATGTTTGTTAAGCTGCACACTACGCGAATAATTCGCTTTAAAGTTAGTAAAGTTTTAAGTTAGTTAATAAATAATTTATGTATAAATAACTTGTAATGTAACCAATTGGCACAATCTTCAAAATTATTTTACGGACTCAAAATTGCAAATATCAGATACATACTTGGTATATATTCGGTTTTACCACTTAAAATAATTATAACTATTTTCAATACAATATCAGTAGATATACCTATTTTAACATTATTATTCAACGTAGACGTTTGCACAGATATACAACTTTCCAATTCGCACTAACCTTGTTTGTCTGCGTCTTATTTAGGCTCTTTTTTATAGTATTCCTGCTGACACTTTTATAATTTTCTTTTCTTTTTACAATAGCGTTGGAAACAGTTGCAAAAAGTAAACCAAAATCAACCACTTGTCATTTATATGATTATTGTTTAATTTCTTTTTTCTCCTGTTGCGAATGTCGTGGTCGCCAGCGAATCAATTCGACAAAGATGACGTTTTTTTCTTTGGCTTTGCGAATGCACACGCTTTACGTATTTTGTCCAAATACACTGATAACACTTTAAACACTCGTAATTCGATTTTTGTGCGCAAGTTGTCCGTAATTTGTACTAATTTATGCGATTTTTTAAGCAATAAACCCGATTTTAATTTTTTCAAAAATCACTTTACAATCTTGTAGGAAAAACTTACTGATTACTATGAAAAATAAATACGAAATGACTGATATGCAGTATTACCAAAACACAAAGTCATTTCAACTCACCAACAGGTGTCGCTCTAATGACTTTCGTTAAATATATATTTTACTTTCTGTTTTTAAAAAACTTGCAGTGGTTCTGCAATAATTTTCATATTGTATGAACCAGACTTGTATGAACCATTATATTTTTCCGTTTTACTATATGTGTTTATTAATTAAAATTTGGTATGCTAAAAAACTGTGGCATCCCTCAAGCTATTGCAACACTGAAACTTCATATATTGTCATGGCATCTTTTAATTTAACGAAAGTGTCTATCTGTTGTCTGTCATATGATGAAAAAATAGGTGACAAATTTTCTTGCTGCGGACAAATTTTGATCAAAAATTAAAAGAATTTTACCAATAATAGCGATATTATAATCACGAAAGCGGGTCCATTAGTTTCATTGGATTAGTTTATTTTCAATTTTTCTTGGTTTTAGTGGTGAGTAACGTTCATTCAAACTTTCTAAAAATGTCGTAATGAGTGAAAAAGTGTGACGCCGCCGTTTGTACGCTTTGTAGCGTTCGACGCTATTAAAAACGAAAGTGTACATCAATTTTTATTTCTATCAACAGATCCCTAAATTCATTTACAAAAATAAAATAGTTGTGTTTATATCACAATATATTGCGAAGTCATTATTGAAACGGTATGTGATTTAATACGTAAGGAATACCGACTGACGACTGGAAATAATATAATATTTTACACATACTATTGATTATTCAGCAGCTGTACCACCACGTATGCATATATTAATCAATTTTAGTATAAATAATTAATTGAGTGGTTTGCATATTCCAAGAAATCCAAACCTGATCAAAACAGTTATATTAATACAGCTAAGAATGCATTAATATTATATTTTTTATTATTTACAATAAATAAATTTAATTGAAAAAAATAAAATCCTTAACATCTTAATACCGATAAAGTTTATAATTAGTAAGTTTATTTCAAATCTTTCTGTTTAAATACTCGGATATTGGCTAGGACAGACCATAATTTTCTTACCGTTCCCATGACAGTCGGGCCAAGTAACCGGAACGGACCCGGATTTTTATCCGGACTAGGAAATTACTTCAGAAAGTTTTTTTCCCCCTACAACAACTTGCTTATCTCTTTTCAATTAAAATTTCGAGTTTATGAATCATTTCGTTCGATTATAAGAGCTAATCTTAGTGAATTTTTTCGCAACCAGCTTCCCAATTTTTGGCTTTACGCTCCTGAAGCCGTTGGGGATAGGATAAAGTTGTTTTTCGGTGCGAACGCCTAATAACTACTCGTGGGATTGCTGAAAGATTAAATTTGTTTACCTTCTTAAAATGTAGTTAGAGAATTAGACAATAGGTAGGTATTTATGTAATAACATGTACAACTTTCATTCACACAGCAATCAGTCGTACGGAACCGAGACAAGTTCGCATTTATGTATATCCGACCAAAAACTGTCAACTCGGAAGCAATCTTCAAATTGTTTTTGTAAATATTTTCTGGCACTGTCGTAGATTTCTTCCGCCAGTAGTAATTTAGTGGTTTCCGTTGCAAGTTTTAATTTTTTTTTTATTAAATACTGTTTAAAATATTTTCTTTATGTTACAATTTGTTGTACCAGGCTTACTGAAATGTTCCATTCAGACCTCTTATTCATTTTAAACAATCTCTTGCAACCTATCGGCAGAAAATAACTCAATTAATTTTCAATGCATATTGGAAGTGGCGGTTGACGGTATTTCTTATAAAAGATTAGTAAATTTTAATATGTGTACATTAGTTGCCTTCAAATGCTTTGATAACCGCAATATAATAAATAATAGGTCTGAAATGCTGTTGCCTTATTAGCTTTTATTTACATTATTAAATGTTTCTTAAACTAACTAAATGTTTAATATTTACATTTTTTATATTTATTTTTACATTTTTTACTGCCTAAAAAATTTCTAACAGGAGTAGTCATAATAGATAATTTCTCTTATCTTTTGAGGACTGCTGTAGGCTAACCATAGTTAATGTGTATGAAATAATATAATATATAGCTTTGATTTGGAATCAGGAAAATGAATATTAAACGAAAAATAAAAGTGTGGTTTTTATTCATAGGTTGGATATTGAATTTCAAAAAATGCATATTCTTCATCTATACGCAAATTTCTTAAACGAAGGAATATATGGATATAATTTCATATATATCTAATTTAAGGGCATTTGCATTTTGATTATAAAATTTAGTCTTATCGATACTTTAAACCACGTGATCTGGCTAAATTCGCCCTATTTGCACCTAACAAGAACGAATTTCCCCGATAGGTGCCAATATCACTTCTATATAATGTTCGAGGTGTCGTGACACCATTAGCATTAAAGCCACTCCGTAGATTGGGTGCAACATATGGCCGTTGACTGGTGTAAAAACTCCCTCCTTGATCCTGACTTGTTGGATTCGGAGACATTGGTTGAAGTGAAGGTAAGATGGAATTAACGGAAAAATTCGGCCGCACAAAAGTAGATGCTACGTTTTGTGTGCTGTTCTGCGGTTGAGATCCAGATACCTGGGTTTTCTTAGTGATGGAGGGCGCTATGTAAGGCGAGCCTGGCGAATCTTCTGATACTGGAATATCGTAAGAACGTCCCGAAGATGGGTTTGTAATACTAACAACGCCTTTTCCACCTTGGGGACAAGGTTTGGGGTAATCGTAACCTCTCGAAACATCCTGTATGTATTTCTCGAAATAAATGTTTTTCGGTTTATCTGGTGAGGTATAATTTGGATTAGTTAACGGCTCACGCGTTAACTCTTTATTCATACCCAAGGATTGCGAACGTGCATTTGTTTGATTCTTTTTTAATCCTGGTATTACCTCTGCATCACCTTTAATCTTTACCACTATTGGAGTGGTAGTAGCCTCAATCTCTGATGAAGCATCTGTAGTTGGCTTGGCGTTTTCCTTTTTTGTAACGTCTTTAGGTTTTAAATTGGAAACTTCTTTCCTATCCACATTTTTATCATCTTTAGGTTTATTTTTTACAAAATCAAAAAGTTCATCGATATCTGGTACGTCCGGTATACCGCCATAGGTATCGAAATTGTCTCTAAAAGCATTTGCCCAGTCCTCATTTTTATGCAAATTTGGATTAATTACTAATTTCCCGTTGTTTTTCCCACTGTGATTTTTAATAACAGTTATAGTTTTTACTCTTGTCCCTTCCTTGGAATCAATGTTTGTCGCTGCATAGCTCAGACTTGTGTCCCTCTTAACTTGACCGATAGATTTTGGATCGCTGACCTTTGTGCCAAAGATGTTTAAATCTTCTGCGTTTGAATCCTGATTATTTGTAGATACGGTAGATGCGTCAACAAGTGTGAGTACTATTATTATGAAGGAATATATCTAAAAGACATTAAAAATGTTGTTGAATAATTATAGAAATGAAAGAAACACGGTAAGTTTAATACAAAAATTATGAAAGTGGACTTATTTATTAGAGTCTTATCCTAAAGGTTCCTATGAAACCCAAATTTACATCAAGCCTATTACTATCTACTTTGTAGAAACGTGAAATGTTTTCTATCAAATACAACTATTAAAATATTAACCATTGCTACATCCTTAGAGTCATATTTCAATCTTTAAAATGTTACGTAGCGGGTGAGTTTTTTACTCTAAAAAAAAAATATTTCTGTGCCAGCAAAGTCTACATAACAGACACGGATCCATAATTATATCCAACCAAGATCTGTCACCTTAGTATCAAACCTATTTTGATATATATTTAATCACAAAAATAACAACAATTTCTGTCGATCGTAGCTTTATATAAATTATATAAATTTAGTACCGAAAAAAGCCAAATCACTTTTCCAAATAAATATGAGTTTTGCAAAGTTTTCTTGTCGGAACACTTTAACCTATTCAGAATTTTTATAAATATACATTTTTTGTTTAATAAATCTATAATAAAAATGTACAGCAAATTTGATACCAAAGTATGTCTGCTTTATACATATGCCTCATTGCTTTTAAATAGTTTTCACCAGTCGTTTTGTCTTAAAAACTGTTTATAAGGAATTTGTTACTTTATGGCTTTATACTCGTATAACGGTGATCCAAGTACAGGTAATTTTTTCAATAGGCTTTAGAAACAATTACACCTGAACAACGTTTACAAATGTTAAGAATATATTTCGCGCGCTTCGCTTAACTTATAGTTGTTGTTATTGTTGTTGGTCTAGCGGGTACCTAGTCCCCGTTAGGTTGGTAAGGATTAGCTAAATTGTTGTCAACATTATCTAATGAAATGCCCAAGAAACGTGCTGTTTCGCCGGGTTCGGACTGTGGGGAGAGGAGTGTTAGATGAGTGGGTTGGGTGGGGCATGCAAAGCGTACTTTTTGCACCGTCGCCTGCCATCACGCAACTGGAGACCCAGCATTCATTATTGGATAATATTCGACGTATTAGAACACGTCCAGCATACAGTGAAGAAAATAAAGCAGGCGTTGTTGAAAGTGTACACGAAGACGGTGAGAGACGATTCGGCTCCGTTCGCAGCAGCTCAGACTGACGTATGGCTCGACTTGACAAATTTTACGTCGAGATCTTAAATTGAAACCGGACAAAATACAGCGTGTGCAGAAACTGAAACCGTTCAACCTTAACAAGCAACATCTCTTCGCTCTATGAGCTCTGGAAAAGTTTCACGAAAATCCGACATTTTGGTACCAAATTTTGTTCAGCTATGAAGCCCATTTCTAGCTCAATGGGAATGTAAACAAAGAAGATTGTCGCATTTGGGCGATTCGAGATTCGAACTACTATTTTATCCAGAAAAAACAACGGTTTGGTGTGGTTTGTAAACCGGTGGAATCATCGGTCCATATTTTACATTTGCTTTCAACAAAAAGGTTCCATTTCTCACACATCTAATCAATCAGTGGATTTACTGAGAGCACTTCGGTGAGCAAATATTTTCACATTTTGAGCCGGTCAATTGGTCACCTAGGTCGTGTGATAACACACCGTTAAACTTTGTCCTATGGAGATATGAAAAGTCTAAATTCTAAAAATAATTGCCAAAGAATGTTCTTTCGAATGACATTCTTGACTTTCCCCATTAAATAAGAGATTTTTGTTTTTTTTTTTAATGTAGGGAACCTCGAAATGGATCACACTTTATTAATTCACGGTTTAAGGGGTATCAAATTAAAAATTTTGGTTTATGAAAACTAACTCTCGATGTTCTGAAGATCAATGGTCTATTATGAAAAATAAACACCGTTATTGTTACACCTCGAGATCAATTTATTTTGCAACATAGGTAAGTACATGTGTTGTTTCGAATACAGTAACAAGTTTTCGATTGCAAACTTTTTGTTACAAAGAAAGCTATATCCTGCGTAAAATGTGTGGGAATGTAAAAGAGTTATACTGTATGTCCTATTGAAAAATGTTTTTAATATTTGGCAAATTTTCGACTAATGGTCCCGGAAAGAATTTTGAAAGTGGCGAGAAAACGAAATGAAATACCCAAGGGGACAATTCAAAAACATGATGAGGAAGGAAGCCGCGTTAAGTTTCATCTTTTTTGTTGCATTATCGAATAGTATACACTGTAGTAAAAATTGTTTCAAACTTAGTAGTTTAGTCCAATTTGGAGAGAACATTTTTAACGTATTTTTTTCTACGAAAAACGGTCGGAAAATGGGTCAAATTCTATACTTTTGTTACCTCCATTTTATAAAATTTCCAAAAAAAAAAAAACAAAATTGCGGCCGCAATCGTGAACATCATTCAGGACCTTTTTGACGTGTCATTTCTACCTTTTATTTTACTCTTATACACCCAATAAAGAAACATAAAAAATCATTTTGTATTCCTTATGAACGTATTTATTAAAAAAAACCGGATCGATTAGCTAATTTCAACATTAAAAAAAATTCGCGAAAATCGGTAATTTTTCGGAGAGTCACTCTTAACAAAGACTGGAATTTTAGTTTTAGTGCTGAATGTATTTGTATATACTTGTATAACACAGCTCTACAAAAACAATTTTTCCTTCTGGATATTCTATACATATGTATTAGTAAATTTTTCCACTTTCAATTGTCCAGATTATAACCTTGTTCATGGAAATATTGAATATACTTTTGTTATTAATAATTGAACCTTTAAAATTTGGTAATTATTAGTTTGTTTGTAATATAAAATTTTGGGTTTTAAGTTATTATAGTGTTCTGTACACCGTTTTGTGCATACAAATGTGAAATGATCGTGGAAGAATATTAATTTAGTGGCATTTGTAAAAGATTTCCGAACTTAGTATGACTAAGACTCGATCGTCTTTTAATACGGCAAATAATAAAAGATACAGATTATATCAAGGTGGTAGGGAAGTTAAAGCTTCGAAGAGCTTTGAATTGAAAGGCGAAAAATGCCTAGCCAACCACTTACTACCAAATTATGAAGAAAATGCGCCAAATATGCTGACAAGCTGGCGTTATCTCTTAAAGCAATTTAAATATCAAGTTGAAATATCTCCTAATAATCTGTATCAATTTTCGAATTGATTTTTGGAAATTATAGTAAGGAACAGAGAGAGCTGTTGAACTAGGATCTAAAAGTTATGGAAGAAAGGTGTTATTGTTGATGAGAACGTCGCAAGATCGCCGATTACTGCTAGTTCTTAAAAAAGAATTGTCGACTGGAAAATTATAAAAGATAAGTTCAACGAAAACCTTTTACCGAAATATAACAAATATTTTCAATAATTGCCTCCCTATTTACTTCGATGCATTCTAACTTTTTAAAACAAAACTGAAATTACAAGAACTTCAATTATTTTGTGTATGATTTCTAGTTTTTGTAAAGTGAAATGAAAAGACGGTTTCAAAAATAGACGAGCAAATCTTACAAAACCGTTAATTGTAGGCACAAATATATTCAAAATCAATCATAATCCCTAATGTGAGTGAAAAAGTATTAAATAACTAAACTAAACCGTTATAAAAATCTGAACTGAGTATATTAAGTTTGTCATGAGGTATGTAACGCCCACAAAGAACGTCGGAGGCCCTATAATACTATATATACAAGGTGCATTCCAAAGTAAACAGGACTTTGAATCCAGCGCCCCCTGGTGGCGCCAAGTAAATGTTGCTTTGGAATCTGCTATCTTGTCAGTATGTTTGTGTTATCGGTGCGAAAATGAACTTGGGACAAAGAGCCAACATTAAATTTTGTTTTAAAATTGGTAAAACTTTTACTGAAACGTTTCAATTGATGAAACAAGTGTATGACGATGATTGCCTATCCCGTAACTGCAGGAGTGGTTTCAACGTTTTCAAAGTGGTCGTGAGGACATAAATGACGATCAACATGTAGGTCAATCAAAATCCGTGATCACCGGAAATTCCATCGAAACTGTGCGTGAATTCATCAAAAATCAGCCGAAAGCATCATGTAAATTGGACATCTCCAAAGCATCGATTTATCGCATTTTGACTGAATATTTGGGCTTACGAAAAGTGCGCTCTGCACGAATATCGTGAAGATGATAGTCGGCGTTTGTTGCATGACAATGCGCAGTCTCATCGGTCGACGCTTGTGACCGATTATTTGACAAAAAATCACATTTTAACCATTAACCACTCCCCGTATTCATCTGATATGGCATCATGCGACTTCTTCCTTTTCGGAAAAATACATTTGCCCACGAAAGGAAAGTGTTATGCAGATGTAGAGACCATTCAAATGGCTTGCAGCGGCATACAGGCGGCCCTACCGGCCAACGAGCTAAAACACTCGGTACTATACGGTATAACTGTCATACAAAGTGACCTATCAAAATCATGGTAAACTGAACGTTTTTGTACTTATGTTCCGTAGCCGTAGGTTGGTTGGTATAACCGCCCATAAGATTTGTATGAAATGTCGAACCAAAATAATCATTAGTGTTTAGTAAACGCTTGTCTTTCTGAAGTCATAAATTCAAATCACTCATTTTTTTTCGAAAAGCAAGCTCGCGTTAATGTCTGAGAAACAATGCTTTGCGATTACCAGGATGTCAGGAAACGTATTATTACTGGCGATGAGACTTGAATCTATGCTCACGATCCGGAAACAGACGATCAATCGGTCGAATATCGTGGAAAAAACACGTCAAAGCAAAAGTTATGTTGGCAGGTTTGTTCGTTTATCGAGGTGTGGTACGCCCTGAATTTCTTCCGTCCGGCCAAACTGTCAATAATTAATACTATTTGAGTGTAGTGCGTAGTTTGTGCGAAACTATTTTTAAAACTAGATGGGGAAAATCTTGGTTTTCGCACCACGATAATACACCCTCATATGCTGCATTGATTCTTCGCGAGTTTTTCGCCAAATTTTCAACGAATATGGTGCCGCAACCAACACATTCGGCTGATTTAGCTCCATGTGATATTTATCAAATTGAATTGAATTAAACACATTAATCGTGAATCGCTGCACGCATTGCAGATTTGATGTTAACAACTGTTTCGAGGATTGGAAAAAAATTGGCACAAGTGTATGTAGTCGAGGCGAATTACTTTGAGGGGGGTGACATAGATTTTCAAGACCAAATTAAGAATTTTAAAATTATGTCTTACTATATTTTGCTCATAGTAGCACACCTAGAAACGACATCAGAACTGGGTAGTAAGTGCTCAGAAATAGATGTAAATGATTGAGAATCTACTGATGGCACTCTTTAATAGAGACATGTAGGTATATTTTGGAAAACAGTCACTGCAAAGTAAGGTAACTGGGAGGATGCCACTCTCGAAGTGTACGTACGAAGGATCACTTTTTAGTGGTATACACACAGCTCTAATACGGATGAAATTGGAACTGGGACAGTGAGACCACTCAGGACCAAACTGTCGTTGTCTATGGCGCAGCAGCGATTATTTTAGAGAGAACAATATCATGGTAAACGTATTGTCGTCTTGTCCGTTGACATCAAATCAACAATGGTAGAGCGCATCATTTATTAGCATAAAACTCTGGGCTTAAAGGCATCAAGGATAATGATGCTGTGACAAACAAGCCAATATGACTGGAGCCTGACTTTAATGTGGGCCTCAGCCATTGCCAGAGAAGCTACGAGAAGAAAAGGGCTTTTGGAAATCGCTACTTGCAGAGAATGTCCGGCTTTCGCAAGGCTGTTTCTAAGAGAGTTCAATACAAAAATATTCCCAAGTTAGGGAAACTAGTGTGGTTTTATACAGGCCGTGACAATAAATCCGATAAGAGTTTATATCATATCTATTAGCTAAAGAGTTTTACTAAGCCTCTGATTCAACTGGCTTAAATGAAGTAAATGAAGGTAATCAAACACTCTTGTAATTAATGCACAGTGAACTGTAATATTATTCCTTCTAAATCTAATAGAGAATCGTTCAAACGTTCACGTTCAATTCAATGAAGCAAATAGAGTAGCATTAGACTTACAATGCAGATCTCCATAACAGATAATAATTTTAAATTGTATTTAAAAGCTAAAATCTCTAATCTATGTACAGTAATGGTAAGTGAAAGTCTGAAGGTTCTAAGAGTAATTAAAGCAACAAATTTATCTAACAGACACATCATCAATATTAAAAAAAAATACAAGAAAAGACAAAAAGAGGCTATTTGGAATATTTTATATCGCTAGATGGTTTCGATTGAGCCAATAAGAGCCATTCGCCGCTTGCGTACATCACGGCTTGCTTGCTGTAATTATTTTGAATATTCTTCTGTAGGAAGCAACATTTGTGCAAACTGAAACACAGTTGTAAGCCAAATGAATCACTGATTACATGATACATAATTTTAGGTTAGACGACTATGGATGGTAAAACCAAAAAAAAATGATTTCTAATATTTTTAGGTTATATGTACTTATGTATTCATAAATTATCCGAGCGGAATATGAACTTTTAGCTCGTAGTTTTGACACAAGTTCATCAGGGTGAGCACAGAACTTTTCGCAAATTGCTGGAGAAGCTGGCCCAAACATTTAGCAATTGTTTATAGGTACATACATATCTGATGTCAGTGAAATGAAAATGTCCTTATCTGTTTCACTTATATTGTTATATCATGAAAGTAAGGTTTCCTTTAATTTATTAATATATACATATATATATATATTTTTTAATGACATTCAACTCACAATGCAAAAATTCATTTTCTTTAAACCGAGTATTATCTTTTTATTTCGAACTTCGAATTTTTGTTTTACCGTTTGACCGTAACTGCACGCTTTTTAATCGTTTATGACCGCAAACAATGCTTGGTAAGAGCTTTTATACACAATGGAAAGAAGGAAAATTGATTTCCTCTACAAGTTTTATAATGAACTCTAACGTTTTTTTCATTCCAATATCATTAGTATGATCTTCACAAAGATGAAATGCTCAATTACATCTTGTCATGTCCACAAAAGCAGACACTTCGTCCAAAAGTTCGTACATTGTATTATCTTGTTTGATCTGCTTCGTAATATGCATCGATTCATAGCTCGAAAACACGTTTAAGACAAGTTGCTAGGCCTATTGGACCATTGCATTTACTCTTTACTTATATATAGTACATGCATACATACATATGTATATGAGCTGAATGAATTTCAACGAAAGTAGATGCAGTTTTTGTATTATGATTGATTAAAGAGAGGTGCCGGAATCAGTTGACATCTTCATATTTGGGCATATATTTTTTTGTTTTTATTCATGAACGCATAATGAGGAAAAGCAACTGTGTTGAACCACATTTTGTGCAACCAATGATGATGTGAGCACATGCTTCGGGAAAGTCTCCTTTTAAAACCTTAATTTGTATATTATATGCGTGTGTAAAATGGAATTGTAACACTCATAGCGTGTAGTGGTGTGTAAATAAATCCAATATAGGATAAGCATAGAGTTTAAGAGCTTAAAAAGAAAAATTATGTGTTTAAACCTTTTAGCTCCAAATATGATATGCTCAGAACATCACTAATGTTTTGATTCCACAAAAAATTCTTTCCGATTTTATATATTAGTATCTGATACCTTAAAATTTGTAATATAAATTGTTTTATGCAAAACTATTAGCTTTAAAAAGTGAGGTTATATGTATGTTTATGGTATTTTTCAGAGCTCATGTCATCTCTACAACTAACCGTATTGGACTAATAAAGACAACTTAACCAAATACATATTTAATTAAACAACGCGAATAGCTATTGTGTGGCTGCTCGCTAAATGGATGTTTTGAACCTGTAATAAAATAAATAATAATTGCGTAGAATTCTCGGACAAGTAAAAGATGAGTGTTATAATTCGTTTGCAAAATTTGCCGTGGTCGGCAAATGCATTGGATATACGGCAATTTTTCAAAGGTCTCTCAATACCGGATGGAGGTGTTCACATTGTTGGTGGTGAAATGGGCGATGCTTTTATCGCATTCAGGTAGATATTTACACTTCTTAACTTAAGTATTGGTTTTAAGAATAAGTTGTTAGCGTTTAATGAACGCGTTAGATCAATTGAGTCATTTTAGTTTGGCAGAGAAATATGAAATAAATAAATGGACTATAAAAAAGGTGATGTAGAAAAGGTAAGAGAAAATGTTCGTCTATTATGACCATCTACTTGTCCCCAAAAACGACGATATGTTACCCTTACACTACAAACTCTGAAGATTAAAACTTTACAAGTGAATTAAAAATGGAACGCTTTTGAATTGAATGTGTTGGGAAATACATGTGGAAAAAAATATATGTCTATAGAGTATATAGAGACGGAATATCAAAAATTAAAATAAAACGTATCTTTTTAATAATGCAATACGATAGATAATACTTACTGCATTTTGCTTAGGACACGTTTTTCCAAATGCAAAAACTTCAGTTTTCAATCGCACAACTGTAACAAATGCGATTCAAAAAGCAAGTTGGTCTCATCTAATATTATTAAATTGCGAAATATTTGCGAACATAGTCTCCTTTTAGTTTGCCATACTTGACCAAACCGAACGACACTTCTACTTCTTCAACCTTACAGAAAAATATTTTTTTCTGGACGTCTGCCATCTTACACTGCATGGTAAGTGTGTTTGAGTCACTTGGGCAATTGCTTTGCAAAAACTGATTTTTATGTCGCAATGGAGGTAGGAGTCAGTGCAGACCTCTTGTCTTCTATTTTATTGTTCTATTTCCAAAAAATAGTAAATGAATCACTGAGCGATATTGCTCAGCTGACATCTTTACAATAGTCGCCTTCGAGAATATACTAAACGACAGTAAGTTTATCTCGTGATATTATCGCTATCGTAAGGTGGGGTTAAGTGCTTATCATATCTTCGTGCAATAGCCTTTCTAAAAGCCCGATAATAACTTTACGAGTGAGTTCTCTACAGTAAGTTGTTTGGCATGGACTTCACTGCAGCTAAAAACCTACATACATATATCTGGACATTTTGAGAGAGACCTATGGAAAAACCCATGAGGTAACCGGATATTCGACAAGGAGTAATACATTTTTGTACATACTCGAGTACTGGTCCGATACTCTGGCTGATTTCGTCAGTTTGATTCATGTCATGAATCGAACCGTTTGTGTTCAAATTAGCGGCAAAGAACAATTTTGAATTAATAGCGATCAGCTTATAAGTACATATATATTTGCTTGTGAACATACTCGTTCGCCAGTGTTCAGGTTGTAAATATCCAATACACTGATTAACTCTGGTACTTGCTGTACACATGTACATGTTTATGTAGGTACGCATCGTAATCAATTAGTGTGAGTACGAAAAGTATACCCGAGTAGGCTTCAGCTAATTGGAATCAAAACTACATTACTCGAGTAATTGATCGATTGGATTGAAATAATCGGCACAGCGCACTAAGTTTACATGATTTTATTTGGCCATATCATTTACGCGATCTTGATTGCCGAAGAATAGATTGGTCGTGCTGCATAAAATCAGTTAACGCTGATCGGTACTTGAGTTGATCAACTATCCTGATTTGATTTGGATTGTGGTTTCGGCACGAGTGTTTGATCTGACTTAATCATACTCGTTGCAGTCTCTTACGCATATGATCTCAAAATAGTCGATGACTGCTTTTTTGTACAATTATTGAAAAAAAATATATGAAAGAAGCGAAAACAATAAACCTGATTATATAATAGTTGATGTCGGTACCTGGGGATAATTGTATTATCTAAACCACTGGGATATATATTTCATGTACACATATGAAATGAGATTCAAAACGTTCGTACTATTCTCCGACTAGAAAAACAGTAATAGCAATCCAGGTGGGCTAAGAAGTTGGTATAGTTTATATAATACCTTAGATAGGTCATAATTTTTTGTAATTAGACCCAACCTTCGATGAGTGTTTTTAGCGACGAAGTAAAGTAAGTAAATTCTGTTCTACTCATACAAACATAAAGGAAAACATTGGGAAATTAAAAAAAATATATCTTAGATAACCGTAAAATAAAGTTGATCGAGATAGCTGACGTTATGAAGACGTACGAGTGAACATGTGGGACATATCGTTGATAAAATTTGGGAACCAAGTATGTCACATGTTTCATTTGGAATAATCATATAAATTGAACCAGAAAATGTAATGTACTTATTTAAAGCGTTTAACTACAAGAAGTATAAGAAGGCCATGGGTTACAAAAGGAAAAAAAAAACTTTGGGAAATTTGCGATTTTATATTCAATATTGTTTCCTTTTAGCTCTATACGATGAACTCAGCACCGCTCTAACTTTTTTAAACCGTTTGAAAAATACTTTTCCATTAGGTATGTAATTCAGGCTCCTTTGGAGGCGGAAACCTTTTCATTAGGTTAAAATGTTTACCTGAACACCTAAAAATGTCTACTGAACCAAATATGAGAATTTGGAAAMGAAAATTTCGCGAAGGGCCAAAACTGGAGAAGGGATTGGCAGCAATTCATAGTCTAATTCAATTGAATCAATCATGTGGAAGGTGTTGTGAGTTGACATTGTCGCTTTCACGGTCAATACAAAACTAAAAACAAAAATCCAATGGACTAAAATTTTGGGTGTAGCCAGCATACTTATGAAAGTAAGGTCTATTGCGATAGCAGCGCCATCGGGCGGTGAAACTAAGTTCTCATCGGACTCCCTCGTAAGATAACCCTTATTCCCCTTTTCGAATCGGGTTTGGTATTGGCTCTTCTATTAACAATAAGATTTTTTGGCTTCGCGAAGAAATAACTTAACAAGTAAAAAAAAACATGAGAGAAACAATCAATAATATCTATAGAGATCTGAAATGAGTTTGAAATTTGCAACAAGTCTACATCCCTCTAATTATTTTTTCACTCCGGGAATACTATTAAATAATACTTATGCGCTCGCATTTCGCAAAGTATTTGTGTGTTTCGTTCTTATATTTTCGAGGAATATCTTTCACTCTGCAATCGAAGATTTCTATTAGTATTCAGCCGATTGGAAATATGCGATTAATTCTTCGAAGAGCATGAAAACGTATTCTCAGAAAAACAATGTTCCTAGTAAAGTATCCCGGTTAGAATGGAGACAATTGGTAAGTAAACACCGAATGTATTATTTCAACCAAAAGGCATACAATACGTATGTATATGTATGGCCTTTACTCCTAAATTTGTCATGGATAAAAGAATGCTGTATAAAAGACTTTTGTTATGCAAAACATTAAACTTTAATGATAAAGTTTACCTTAACAACAGATATATCCTACAAAGTGATCCATTCAAAATTCAATGAGCATTATTTTTAAATTTTTAAGCATTAGTACAGGAAGGAAGGAATATCACTTTATCCAGATTCCCGTAAACAGTCTAAGGTCAAAAGTAAAATCTGTTTTCTAACGTCAATCGTAATATTGTAACTGAATACGATAAGTTTTGAATGTCACTCTTTGAATTCAACTCCACAGATCGGAAGATATCCCAAAAGCAAAAGTGGGTGATTCATCCTACCGAATCCTTGACTGAAGTTTGTATAAATAACGTAAGTCAGCTTATTAGCCCAACTACCTAAATAAGACATTGTTGAAATAAAATATTTAAATATAAAATGATGTTTGTGCAACTTCTTCTTTTTTACGGGTATAGCCGAGTCGATGCCAGTATTTTCTCCTTGTGGTGCCAATTAGAGACTCAAAGCGAAGCCAGGTCCTTCTCCACCTACAAGAGTATGCTCCGGTTTTGAGAGAAGCCGAGAAGAGCTTGACAAGCTAGTCGACAGG